GTAAAATAAGGAGATACAGTTGCATACTTAACCCTATTTGGTAAGTGCTTAAAACAGTCCTAGCAGAAAGTAAGCACTAGGTAAGTGTTAATTGTTTTGTTTGCTGTTACTACTAGTCTTCCTAAGGAGTTATTGCTAGTGTACATGAACATTTTCAAGACCTGGACAAGGGCAGAATTACAGACCTGTATCATTGCTCTAAAGGTTGTGACTGAATCCAACCAAAGTGGATGAATTCTGAGTCACTTTTAAGTATTTTGCCTTGAACAAATATTTGTCTTTCACTTTGTCATTTTTTTCTTTTTACTTCCCTATTATTCTACTTTATATGTTTCCTCTTAGAGCTTGATCTTGAAATCTGCATTAAGGTAAAACTTCCACTGAAAATGTACAAATGCAGTCTTAGTTCCAGATTTAATTTAAGTCACCTCATGGATCTAACCCTTTGCCTGTCCTGAGCTTGGCATCCCACCATAGATTCTTTTTCTCACAGCCTCCTTTATTCCTGTTATCTAAGCTTTCCTAGTGTTTTTTTTTTTTTTTTTAGCTTGCTTCTAAGGTTCATTGTAACATAATATATAAACTAAAGAATAATTCAGGGTGCTTCTGAATACTTTTTAAACACTTATTTTGAAGAAATTATAGACACACCAGAAATTGCAGATGGTACAGCACAGCGCGATGTTTCCATCGTGAGATTCCTTCAGTGGTGATAACTTTTAGTGCATTGTCAAAACCAGGAAATTGATATTGGCACAATACAACTAACTAGACTACAGACCTTAATTTGATTTCAGCAGTTGTTGCAAGCACTCATTTGGGGGAGAGGGGTTGTGTGTGGTGTGTGGTAATTGTGGTGATGGCTTTGTGCATGAATCGGCATTTTGGCACATGTGTAACCACTAGCACATTCAAGATACAGAACCATTCCGTCACCACAGAGAAATTCTCTCATGTTTCGACTACCTGTGTAGCACTTCAGTAATGCACTGTCTCAGCTCATGCCTATGACCCAACCCCAGAGTAATTAACAATCATTGGTCTTATTTAGGCCAGAACTTTTAATGTATTTCACCTTCTGTCTCTCAAGATAATTGCTGTAAGAGCTAAAACTGTTTTTTGTTTTTATTTGGGGAGAGTAAGCAATCACTTTTTGTAGTCCTAATCATATGTATAAAATACCTTTCATAGCACTTATGTAAGAGCTGTAAGAAAAATGTATTTCCTTAAAGGTATATGATTGACAGTCCACTATAAGGACACATGCACACGTATGTTTATTGTAGCACTATTCACAATAGCAAAGACTTGGAAACAATGACAGACTGGATAAAGAAAATGTGGCATGTATACACCATGGAATACTGTGCAGCCATAAAAAAGAATGAGTTCATGTCCTTTGCAGGGACATGGCTGAAGTTGGAAGCCATCATTCTCAGCAAACTAACACAGGAACAGAAAACTGAACACTGCATGTTCTCACTCATAAGTGGGAGATGAACAATGAGAACACATGGACACCGGGAGGGGAACATCACACACCAGAGCCTGTCACAGGGTGGGGGAGCAAGGGAAGGGAGAGCTTTAGGACAAATACTTAATGCGTGCAGGGCTTAAAACCTAGATGATGGGTTGATAGGTGCAGCAAACCACCATGGCACATGTATACCTGTGTAACAAACCTGCACGTTCTGCACATGCATCCCAGAACTTAAAGTAAAACTTTAAAAAAGTATATAAAGTATATGATTGAATGAGTTCAAAAACTTCAGTCTGGTGTGTATTTAATAATTCTATTTGGGATTATTTTGGAATAATACATTGAGATGTAATGGCTTCTAAACTAAACTGACTTAAGAAAAAAAATTTTAATGAGCACCTAGTACTTACAAAATGCCTGGTTATGGGAAATTATTTTTAGAATTTTTATTACGATGCTTCTCAGTTGATTGAATAAGTTATTTTTAATTTTTTCTGTTTTGTTTTTCTTTGTAAAACATGTACCTGTAGAAGACTACAAATAATGAAAAATAACTCTCTTACACACTCAGACCCTAGTCAACAAACTTATTTCCCCAGGGGTAAGATTACTGTGTTCATTTTTTGAGTACTCTTCCAGAGATATTTCATACATATTCAAGCCTAAGTGTATGTAGAACCTTTTAAACTACAATGGTTCTGAACCTGCATTTTTCGTTTAATGCTGTGCTTTAGAGATTGTTCCATTGATAAGGAACACTGAGGTCTGCTTCTTATTTTACACTGGAAGCACAGTATTTCATTGTGTGGATGTACAACTAGAAGACCTCTCATCTGATATATGGTAGTTGGGAATTCTAAAATGTGATCTCTGAGCATTTCAGTGTGACTGTATTTCCAGCCTTTTTTTTTTTTTAAAGTTAGGCCAAGGCTTTTTCATTGGATGTGGAGTCCACTGACAGGTAGGTGTTCAGTGTTCTTTTCCTTGCTCAGACCATACTCAAGAGTGCATTATCTGTAACTTCCGTTTAGACTTTCTGTAGCTGATGTGAGAAATTAGACCCGTAAGAAATAAGCTTAGGGCAAAACCCCTGTTTTTACTGTTTACTGTTTGCCTTAGTGTTTCCAATTATCTCAGCCATACCCAATTCAATAGTACTTGCCTTTTTTCAGTAGTTTGCTTTTATTGATTCTTCAGTTGTGGTAACAAACACAGCTTACCCTTGATAAACATACCCCATCATGGGGGCAGAACTGTATGGGTTTGTTAGTGGTAAACTGCCAGTCAGAATATTTAATGTGCCATAGTCATCTATTAATTTTACTCAGGAAGCCAAGGATATTGGTTAATCATGTGAGTCAGTTAAATAAAGATTAAGAGTTTGTTTGTGTTTTATAATTTTAGGTAACCATTTAGCAGACATTTAAGTTGTTTCTAGCATTTTGCCTCCTATGGTGATTCAATAAATATACTTAATCATTTATCTGGACACATGTAGGCCTTTTAAAAAAAAAAGTCTTAAAATGGAATTACTGTGTCTAAGGGGATCGTCACTTTTTAATTTTAATACATTTTGCTGAAAGAAATCTGAAATATTTTATTACCTAATTTTCAATGTTTAACTGTAGTAAAATATGATATATAAATTCTTTCTTTCAAAATTAGCCAGTTTTATTTCTCCCTTTTCTTCAAATTGATCTGCAGAGAGGAAAAACTGTGTTCATATGAATCATAAAACACATTAATGGGATTTGAGAGGCATTGAGTCATGGAATTCCAGACATCTCTCACACACGGATGACTCACTTTCTGTGTTGTTGTGCTATGTGTGTGGTGTATCTGGTGCAATAGATGTTTCTCAATTTCACTAAATCTGATCATATTTAAACACTCTAGGAAGATTGCTGTGTTAATGAGTAACATTGAAAAGCCTAGGCAAAGTGTCCTTTCTTTAAAAAATGACTAAATTAGGACTCATCTTTGCATGTATTCTGTTACTATAGTGGTTCTGCCTTAGCTCTTTCAACAATTGTTTGTTGAATAATTTCTGTGCAGAGCATTCTGTTTCCTGGGGTGGTATATATTGGAATAAAAAACAAGATCTTGTGGTAATTGTGGTGAGAGAAAGAACTCTTAGCTTATTGAACAATTTAACATTGGCACTATATCAACCTCCCTTTGCTGGAACACCTGTTACAAGGACAAAAGCAATATTAAAATTATAAGAAGAAATGTTTAATGAGACCAGTGGTAATTATATGTTACACACATTCCCCCCCCGCCCCCCACCAGAGAAGATCTTGCTCTGTTGCCCAGGCTGGAGTGCAGTGGCATGGTCATAGCTCACAGCAGCCTCAAGCTCCTGGACTCAAGCCATCCTCCTACCTCAGCCTGCTGAGTAGCTAGGACTACAGGTGCATGCCACCAACCCAGCTAATTTATTTACTTATTTATTTTTTATAGATATGAGGTCTCACTGTGTTGCCTAGGCTGGTGTAGAACTCCTGGCCTCAAGTGATCCTCCCACCACAGCCTCCCAAATGTTAAGATATCTCTTTATAATAATGTCATATACTACAGCTAGGCCTTTTTTGGATTGCCTGTTGATATTTAATCCCTCTTTTGCCTAGCAAGCAGGTTTTTACTTTAATTCTCAATGGCCCGACTATTTTTTCTTAAAGTAATTAAGGGATTCCTAAACAAGAAAGTTATTACAAAGTGAAGTATAATTTTTCATTTGTTTAAATCTTGAAAACTGTAGTAGTATTCTAATATGGTAAGAGGCCCCTCAAATACAGTACCTACTTTAAATAAGTTTATTTCTCTTAATAGCCTGAAAGTCAGTCGTCCAAGCTGGTAAGGCAACTCTTTTCTGTAGGATTATTTATTCCAGATCTTGTTGCTTGACAGAATGCTAGTATATTGGCCTACATTTGCATGGTCAAAAGGGCTCAGTTTCACATGTGCCTTCTAGCCTGTGGGAAGCAGGAAGCAAGTAGCCCTGTTCTAGAGTAGTTGTCCTTTTTTATCTCTTGAGACAGAGTCTCGCTCCGTCGCCCAGGCTGGAGTGCAGTGGCGCGATCTCAGCTCACTGCAAGCTCCGCCTTCCAGGTTCACGCCATTCTCCTGCCTCAGCCTCCTGAGAAGTTGGGACTACAGGCGCCCGCCACCACGCCAGGCTAATTTTTTTTTTTTTTTTTTTGTAGTAGAGACGGGGTTTCACCATGTTAGCCAGGATGGTCTCGATCTCCTGACCTCATGATCCACCCGCCTTGGCCTCCCAAAGTGCTGGGACTACAGGCGTGAGCCACCACGCCCGGCCAAGAGTAGTTGTCTTTTAAGTTGAAGATGACCTGGAAGTTGTGCCTGTTATTAATTTCCACTCACATACCATTGGTCCACACTAAGCAACAACTTCAAGGGAGGCTCGGAATGTATTCTCTCACTGGGTGGCTAAGTGACCAGCTAAAATTTTATTCCTGTGGACAAAAGGAAGAACGTAGTAGAAAACAACTAACAATCTGTCACAAAAGCCTTTATCAAAAATTAAGGATGTAAGTTTCAATATAAGTATTTCTAAATAGTTTTTTAAAGATGCAGCCAAGTCAGTAATACTCTGTTGTAACTTTAGATAGGGTATCTATGAATTAAAAATCCCTGAATGTGACATTACTCTAAAGCCTTGTATCTTGAACTGGAGAGCACTGTTGTTTTCTGGTAGGAGGTCCATGAAACATGCATTAGAGGTAGCTTCTTTTCCTAGAGGAAGATTTGGATGAGTATGTATTTTTTATATTGAAACAGACATGAATATATTTTGGAAATGAAAGTAAAACTGGCAGGAATGTTAAGAAAAAACTTAAAATTGCTTTAAAGTATAATGTCAAATCCCCAGAAATATTTTCTCTTTTTGCCCCTGAGGGTACTCTTGTGGAAACATTTTGATAAGCAAATCTTTTAGTTTGTTAAGGTTTATTTTATTCAATTAGGTTAACAGTTCTAAACTGTAAAACTGCGGAAATACACTGATGAAAAGATTAGTATGAAGTAAAATTTTCCCATATATATCAGCAGCACAAGCATCTTTATTCAAAGAAAATCTAAGAAGCTATTTCATTGTCATTTTAGGTTTTTATTTTTATTCTTTGCTGCACTTTATACCACTATTTTACAGTCAAAAAATTTTTTTTCAGGCTTTTGCCTTAGCAAGGAAATTCCCTGTGTTTTTTTTTTTTTTTATTTTTTTTTATTTTTAGTAGAGACAAGGTCCTGCTCTGTTACCCAGGCTGGAGTGCAGTGGTGCGGTCATGGCTCACTGCAGCCTCATTCACTTGCATGCCTGGCTAATTGTTAAAAAAATTTTGTAGAGACAAGGTCTTGCTGTGTTGCCCAGGCTGGTCACATCCTTTTTTTTTTTTTTTTTTTTTTATTGGGACTTGCAGATTAGGCTAGAGTTATAAAAGTAATAAGCTGATAGTTAATAATGGCTTGGGGAGGGGATTGCTGTGGTTATTTAAACTATTATTAAAATTAACCTTATTTTAAAACGTATTTCCTACCTTTCCTTATTATCACAGGACAATGAAAAGCGAACCCCATTGCATGCTGCAGCCTACCTTGGAGATGCAGAAATCATTGAACTTCTTATTTTATCTGGTATGGTAACCTCTGAGTAATAAGAACACATTATGTATATTTTTGTTATTCTTAATGTTTCTCAGTCATAATTGACTATTTACTGCATGACCTGGTTGTTCATATTTGTTTTATCAGCTGAAACTTATTTTTGTATTCATTCTATAAATACTGATCACATATCTTCTTCTGGGTGCTTAGAGTACATTAAAGAACAAAACAAAGATTGCTGCCCTCTTGTAGCTTATACTCTGATAAGGAAAACAAGCAATAAATACAAGTGAATTTTATAGTATATTAAATGATAAGTGCTTTGAAAAAATGAAAAAGTAGATCAGGATAATCAAGGTGGGATAAGCATTGTATGTAAGGGTTTTTTTGGTTGTTTTTGTTTGTTTGTTTGTTTGTTTGTTTATTTTTGTTTTTTGAGATGGAGTCTCGCTCTGTTGCCAGGCTGGAGTGTAGTGGCATGATCTCAGCTCACTGCAACCTCCAACTCCCTGGTTCAAGTGATTATCCTGCCTCAGCCTCCCAAGTAGCTGGGATTACAGGCACGTGCCTCCATACCCAGCTAATTTTTGTTTTTTTTAGTAGAGACGGGGTTTCACCTTGTTGGCTAGGATGGTCTCTATCTCCTGACCTCGTGATCTGCCCGCCTCGGCCTCCCAAAGTGCTGGGATTACAGCAGTGAGCCACCATGCCCGGCCTATATAGGGTATTATATGGAGCAGTTATAGTAGGCCTCATTGAGCACAGAATTATAGGAGATGGTTGCAGTTCTCCTAGGTGGAGGTAATGGTGGTTTATACCAAATACAACGGTGGAGACAGTAAGAAATAGTCTGATAGGAGGTATATTTTGAAGGCAATGCCAGCAAGATTTCTGTGTTTAAATAGCTTTTATCTAACCCTACTTGAGGGCCTGTAAAATACTTTTAGTCAATTACACTCCTTTATTATTTTTTCTAAACCATTTAAGTCTTTACAATATGAAGTAATACTAGAACTGTCTATGATAGAATAGCTCCTATTGTGGTCAGACTACCTACAGTTCCAAAAAAGGCAAGCAGACAGAGTTTAGAAATACTCTTGTTATAGCCAGATGATTGTAATGATATTTATTGGCAAAGGATATGTGTCATTAATTTGAGCTTGTGTTGCCAAATTACGTACATACATGCATAATGAAATTGGATAAGTAATAGTATTCCTTTGATAGTTTGTGGAAAGGAGGGCTCAGAGGGTGAAATTTTGTGTGAAGATTTCATTAAATAATAACCCAGAGTTTTGCCATTACAAATTCATAAAAATTTAAGAATCCATCTGATTTTTTAAAAATACCTTATTTCTATAACAGATTTCATGATCATATAAAATTAAATATGGTTAAATGTGGACCTGGCTAATATTTTGTTAGTTTATGAATAATTTCACTGCTGACGTACTTCCCTGAAGATGCCTGTTCCTTATTAATTTTCAGCTAAAATTTACTCAAGGAAAGAACTGAGGAGGTTGAAAAAAATTACTTCTTTTAATAATATAAATTAATGGAACACAAGTTTATGGAATTTTCTACACAAATATCATCTAAGAAACAGTTTAGGACTTTGCATAAGAAGTCTACTGCTGCATTTTTTATTTTAACAACAGAATTCTGATAATTTTTGTTTTGTCATAAAGATTATTTTATATGATTCCACATGAAGGGTTTGGTTTTTTTTTTTTTTTTTTTTCCATTTTTTATTTTTACACCTAGGAGAAACTTTTCAAATGCTCAAAGTTGACTTAATCCCTTCCTTTTAAAAGTAAATGTTTGCAAAAAGTATTTTTAGTTACTTGTAAAAGGTTGACTTCCTGGTTTCTGTAAGTATGATAGTCAAATGAGTCTTATCATGAGCATGATAGTATATAGATGTCAGCTTTGAAATAAGCATTTGAAAGAATGCTTAGTTTCTTCTGAATAATCCAAGTACAAATCATGTGTGAAATTAACCATGGTACTTGTATAAAAAGCTATTTGAACTTACCTTTGAAAGAATACTTTTTAAATTTTTCTTTGAGACAGAGTCTCGCTGAGTTGCCCAGGCTGGAGTGCAGTGGCATGATCTCAGCTCACTACAACCTCCCAGGTTCAAGGGATTCTCCTGCCTCAGCCTCCTGAGTAGCTGGGACTACAGGTGTGCGCCACCAGGCCCGGCTAATTTTTGTATTTTTAGTAGAGATGGGGTTTCACCATGTTGGCTAGGCTGGTCTTGAACTCTTGGTCTCAGGTGATTTGCCTGCCTCAGCCTCCCAAAGTGCTGAGATTATAAGTGTGAGGCACTCTTCACATAAAAAGTGAAAATACTTTAAATGTTTTATCAGTTTAAAGAGGTAATATAGCTCATGTAGCTATTTTTCAAAGGAAAAATACAATTTTAGATGAATTTAATTGTTCTCAGTTCTCAATTAAAAAGTTAAGTTTTTACATTGGCCTTAGAGCTGTACATTATCTCCCCACCTCAGATTTCTTCTGACTTGAATTTCTACTACTCTCTTTTTATTTGCTCTGCTCTAACCCCACTGGCCGCCTTCTACCTCTGGTTCTTTGTGCTGCTGTTTCCTTAGCCTTAAACCTTCCTCAGCCATTTAACACCCTGAACCTTTTCATGTCCTTGCTCAGATATCACCTCATCAACAAGATTTTCCTTGGTCACTGCCACTACCACCTAATCCCCCTCTCCTGTTATCTTTTTTCCTTGTGCTTATTGTTATCTGACATCCTTTTTAAATTACTTGTTTACTGTCATTTTATCTCCTCCAGAATGTAAACTCCAAGAAGGCAGGCAGTTAGTCTACTTTGCCTTCCTGGCATATTTATTTAAAGTGCCTGGGATGGTGATTATAGCAATATAAGTTTAGACTGTGTCTCTTTTTCAGAAATTTGTTTACATTTTGCCCTGTTTCTCAAGTCTTTAATGGAAATGAGAATGGGAGAGATGGGGATGGGTACAAGTTAAGGGTTGAAGGGTGTTAGGTAAGTGGAAAGGGAAAGAAGGCGAATGATTTGTCTATGAGTGCAACTCAAGATCTTAGACTTTTTTCTGTTTAGACTTATCAGTTAGGCTCTAATTTAGGAAAACTAAAACAAAAACTTACTTGGGTTTGGAGTAAAATTAGCTGGAGTAAAATCCAAGGCTAGATTTCCATTGAACTAGAACCTCAGCTTTCTACTTATAAACAAAAAAAAGAATAAAGAAATAAATCAGGCTTTGTGTTGCCATGAGAGACACTACAGGTAGTGTGAATGGCACAAGCTCTTTTGCCAGACAGATTTGGATGCAGTCCTGGCCTTACCTCTTACCACCTCCATGATCTTTTGAAGTTTATTTGCTCTCTGAGCCTCAACTTCCTCATCTAAAAAAATGGGAATACTATAAATTTTATAGGTTTGAAGAAGCAAATGAAATTATGTCATTAAGATACCTAGGAAGTCCCTGGCATATAGTATTCAAAATTATGGCTGTTACTTTTTTAAGCAGCATTTCTATTTTTTCCTTCATTTTTTTGGTTCTGCCAAGTAAATAAATTCGTTGGTGTCAGGAATTATCTTCTCTGTGACTTTTAGATATGATTTCTTAAAAATTCTCCCCTATCAGTTTTGAAGTCCATTATTACATTCTGAAATGATAAAGAATTTATTTCCACAATCTAGAAAGACAAAGGTTGAAAAAAAAATAGACTCTATGTACTCTGGAGAAGTGTATTTATATGTTTTAAATTCTACAATCAAGAAACAGCTATTAAAGCTTTATATGATGTAAGTACCTTCCTGAACAGGGTAGGTATTTGCTCCCCTGAGCAAATAGTAAGGGCTCCTGTAATTTATGGATAACAGAGCTCTAACAAGAAGATAAGTGTTAATCGGGATGTGTATTTAACTTATAAAAGTTGACACTATAGAGGATAACTGCCATAGCCTTTTATAAAAAATATCCTTTTACATAAATGAGGAAGGAACCAGGAGAGATTCTCTTTTTTTTTTTGAGACGGAGTCATGCTCTGTTGCCCAGGCTGGAGGGCAGTGGCGCCATCTGGGCTCACTGCAACCTCCACCTACCAGGTTCAAATGATTTTCCTGCCTCAGCCTCCCAAGTAGCTGGGATTACAGACATTCACCCCCAGGCCCAACTAATTTTTGTATTTTTAGTAGAGATGGGATTTCACCATGTTGGCCAGACTGGTGTCGAACTCATGACCTCAGGTGATCCACCCACCTCGGCCTCCCAAAGTGCTGGGATTACAGGCATGAGCCACTGCACCCAGCCCAGGAGAGATTTTGAAATCTGAACCAGAAACCTGATCAGGAAGAAATTTTGGTTGGTGGATATTTCTTCAGTTCGTTCATGTTATATCCATTTTAAATTTCTATTAACTCTTCAAATTAAAAGTTGATTAGGACAGTTTTATAGAAGATATACTACACATTTTAGAAGTCAAGTATAAGCTAACCAATGAATTCTTAGTTTTATATTGGAAATAGATTTCCAGAATAGCAGGGTAGTAAAAGACTAATTGTATCCAAATTTTAGTTCAGAATAAGTATCAGAAGAATAGTCTTCAGACAATATATAGTTTATAGACTTAAAAGGTTCTGTATAGATGCTTCAGGAGTTCTGGGTAAATTTGGTTTGAATGCCATGGTTGCTGAGGCGCAAGTTAAACTGACTGATATCCATAACCCTAATTTTAAATTCTAGATTCATCAAACAGCCTTTTAATGAATTATGATATGTTGAGTTATAAATTAGAATTGAAATAGATATTTGATCTGATCAATTCTTTAGGTAAAGATGAGGAAAAAATACATGAAGAGAAATATAGGCTAATTTGTTCATAGTAATGAAAATTTAGTGTAGGTGTTTACCCTTCGTGTTAATTACCAACACCACATTGTAATAGCAGGTAGGTATAATCTTAAAGAAGTAAATTAAGCAATATGAAATAATGCTTCTTTGTATAAAATTCATGTAAGATTGCCTTATATAAAAGTCATATGCTTTCATAAGAACATACAATAGAGTCAGTTACTGTAATTTTGTATTTTAAAAACTACTTTGATATCCATAACAAGAGTTCTATATTCTCTAAATATATTTCTCTAACGTAAAAAAAATACAAAGATTGAGATTATTTTACAGAGTCATTTCCTTCTGTGTTCATATTTCAGGTTTTTATTATGTCTGACTTGTGATAAAAATTTAGAAAATAAGGACATTTATATTTTCTCCAGTTTGTTTCACTCTTTTGTGTTGCCTTGGCCCTCTAAGTGATGTGGAAAACCAATGAAGAGTTCTGTTTGGAGTAGAATAACATGCTCTGACTTCTGTTTTTAAAGATTCATTCTCTGGCTTTGGCTTCAAAGTCTTGACCATTTTAAGTCATGTTTATCCTACTTTTTGTTATTTCTAGGTTTTTGTTTTTAATAGTTCTCCTTTTTTTCCCCCAAACTCAGCTAGCTCTCATCTCTTTACATTGTCTTATCTCTTCTTTCTTGTAACTTTTCTTTGAGGTCTCCTCTTCAGAACTTAAATTCAGTGAAGTTGAGTATATAGAGTAGCTCATGAATTCATCCTCTTATTTTCTGGGATGGTTTTTTCCAACTGTATTTCTCCTAGTTTACTCTACTCTATATATTTTTGTACTAGTCCTGTGCTGGATACTTTCAGATTCTCACATATCTTCGAGGAATATGCCTCTTTGCAGAACAGAAAGGAAGGGGCAAAAAGTGAGCATCTGTTAGGTTTGTTTCTTCAAATAACTCTCAAACCAAATTTTAAGTTCAGGAGTACATGCGCAGGTGTGTTATATAGGTAAACTTATGTGGGGTGGTTGTACAGATGATTTCATCATCCATATATTAAGCCTAGTTCCCGTCAGTGATTTTTTTCCTGAACCCTCTTTCCTCTCATCGTCCACCCTCTGATAGGCCCCGGTGTGTGTTGTGTTCCTCTGTGTGTCCATATGTTCTCATCATTTAGTTTCCTTTTTTTGTTGATGTACCATAGGTAGTTGGGCTGGCTCAGCAGCTTCTTAGATCAGTGGTTTCTTAGGTAGTAATCTGCTGGTGATTGGCTGTTACTCTCCCTCATCTCCAGCTGGGTGAAAAATTATTGAAGATGCCTTCTTGGTCTCTTGTTTAGCACTGCCCCACTTTGTTCTTATGCAGCATGAGGTTAAGAGTTCTATAGGGGATTTTCCTGTGAATTACCCAAACAGCTCTAGATCGTCTGAAAGATTTTTAGGGATTTTAGGACACAGCAGAGAGAAAGGAACAAATGAGACACACATGCAAACATGACTTTTTAGAGGACTTGGTAACCTTCCCAAGATCTGAAGAAGCTTCACTTAACTCAGTGTCCTACCATTTGATACATATTTCACTGTTATTGATAGAAATAATTCATAGTTTGATTTGTGGTTGTAACTGTTTCCTTACTGTATTGAACATGGTATCTCTTCCCCTTCTCTTTTATATTTTGGTGACTTGCTTTAGAGTAAAACTACTCACTCTCTTTAACTTGCAGTCCAGAATTAAATTCTTTGGAAACCAAATATTTGTGCGTGATACAACTCTTAAGATTTGTGGATGAGGTATAATTTTTGGCATGGTACCTGTAATCAAGCAAGTGAATACATCCATAGAATCTATGGTAATACTAGAGTCCTCTGGAATTAATGTTATAGTTATTATGGAATAGGGTGAAGTAATAGCAAACAGTGAGTGCTTATTACGTTTTAAATACTGTTAACTTTAGCCATTTCATTAATCTCATTTTATCCTAAATTTGTGAAGGTATTATTATAAGGAAACTAAGGCAATTTAGCTTTTAAACTTTCAAAGTTTTGTGCTAGTAAAAGCTAGAGCCAGAATTCAGATCCAGGCAGTTTGACTACAGAATCCGTGTTCTTAATCCTGCCATAATCAGAATCTTCCTCTTTTCCTCCCACCATAATGCCCACCCTCCTCCCCCGACCACCTATTTAGCTTTTAGTAAATTTGCATGTGAAGTCACTTTTATTGAAGAACTTTTAAAGACTGTTTTCTGGCCACTGAGGTATAGATATTTTGTTTGGGAGCTTATTCACTTAATGCCTGCATTCAACACTATATGGTTAGCAGTACCTCAGACCTCAGACTGCCTGCAGTACGTGTTAAGTCCTTAAATGACTGCATTGTGGAAGGCATTTGTCAAAAATTCATTCGATTGGCCTTTTATAAAAAATACTCTCCTTAATGGAAAACACCATTCTGATGTTTCTGGCATTAAGAATGAAACCTGAAGTATGTGTCTCTTCTTTTTACTTCAGTGCTGGTGCATTAGTTTGCTGAGGCTGCTGTAATAAAGTACTCCAAACTGGGTGGCTTAAACAGCAGAAATTTATTCACTCAAAGTTCTGGAGGCTACAAGTCTGAGATCAAGGTGCTGTCAGGATTGGTTCCTTTGGAAGGCTATGAGGGAAGGATCTCTTCAGGGTATCTCTCTCTGGCTTGTAAAATGGCTGTTTTCTCCCTTTATTTTCCCTCTGTCCATGTCTGTTTCCAGATTTCTTCTTGTAAGGACTCCAGTCATACTGTATTAGGGCCCACCCTAATGATCTCATTTTAATTACCTCTGTAAAGATTCTGTCTCCAATTAAAGTCATATTCTGAGTTGCCAGGGGTTAGGAGTTGAACAAACCCACAATAGCTGGTATCCACAACACTCTTAAAAAATACAGTGTAGCAGCTATCTTTTTCAGCATTATAGTTGGAAAAGTGGAAATGTCATTGGTTTTTGCTCATTCTACTCTGAGCCTGAAAACAGAATCTGAACCTTTTGCCACTGCACTGTTAGGCAGCCAAAGAAAAGCATTATTTCCACTTTGGGAAGAGGAGGGATAAAAGTACTTGGCTTCTGGCCCAGCTCACTGGTTATGGACTATCTCCTCTGTGGTTTAGGAGCAGAGAAGAAAACAATTCTCTGCAAATAGAAGTTTTGGAAAATGATTTGTGAGACTATTTATAATTATTACAAACATGTATGAAGTTAGCAGTAACTTTAATAGTACCTACTATCAAGTTCTTAGCCTAGATCAGAGGTTGGCTAACGTTTTCTGTAAAGGGTGAGATACTATTTACAGGCCATACAGACTCTCGCAACTATTCAACTGTGAATTGAACAGATGTGGCTCTGTTCCAGTAAAACTTTACAAATTAGGTGGCTTGCAGCCGGTGGGTGGTAGTTTGAAGACCTCTAACATAGATTATAAAGATACTACCTCATCTAGTTAATGTTAAAGTAGAATGAGGTGTCTTAGTCCTTTCGGGCTACCATAACAGAACATCACAGACTGAGTGACTTACAAATTTTTCTCCGTTCTGAGGCCGGAGAAGATTGTGATGGCAGAAGATTTGGTATCTGGTGAGGACCCACTTCTTATTCATAGCCAGCAGTCTTTTTAGTATAACCTCATATGGCGGAAAGGGTGAGGGAGCGCTCTTGGGCCGCTTTTATAAGAGCATTAATCCCATCCACTGCCCTCATGACTTAATTACCTCACAAAGGACCTCGCCTCCTAATGCCATGACATTGGGGTTGGGATTTTAACATAAATTTGAGGGGAATGCAAACATTCAGACCAATTGACAAGGTTTAATAAGTAAGAAATAATTTATTCTGAATATTCCAAAATAGGATAGAATGTAATAACTGGAAATGGATCATAAGGATGATTTAGCACAATTCTTTATTTTACAGGTACAGTTGACCCTTGAACAATGTGGAAGTTAGGGGCACTAATTCCCCCAACCCCAACACAATAAGAACTTTGAATATAACCTTTGGCTCCCTAAAAACTACTAATAGCCTAATGTTGACCAAAAGCCTTACTAATAACATAAACAGTTAACACATATTTTATATGTTATATGTATTATATACTGTATTCTTACAATAAAATAAGCAATAAAATGAAAATACTAAGGAAATCATAAAGAGAATACATACTATGTATTGAATGGAAGTAGATCATCATAAACATCTTCATCCTGGTCATCTTCACATTGAATAAGGTGAGGAGGAAGTGGAGGGTTTGCTGTCTTGGGTTGCAGAGATTGAAGAAAATCTACATATAAGTGGACTCATGCAGTTCGAACCAGTGTTGTTTAAGGGTCAGCTGTAATTGAGGTTCAAAAATCAAAGAATTGGAAGAACTTAGTGACCAGTTAGATTAGGAGAAAATAAGTCAATCAGTTATCTTGCAGGATGAAATTTAGAGTCAAATGGGATACTCCTAATGGAGTTGCTGACTGTAGAACTCTGCAGAAAGAGTGCCCTTTGTTGTTTAAATCTGGGACCCATCCTCACCCGCTCCCATCCATACATATTCATATCCACCTTCCCCTCACCTCACCAGACACACAGCATAGGAGGCAGGGATTATGATTTGCAAAATGAAGACCCAGGCCCCAAGAAATAGTTCCAGGTCACATAGCCAACTTACACAGCCATTATGAGATCACATCTCTCTCCGGCTCCAGTGTTCCTTCCACTAACCCTTGACTGTGTCTTCACAAGGTCAGACCTCTCTTCAACTGCATTGCTGTCTAGAGCCCTAGACTAATGTAAGTAAGTAAATCAGGTTTTTGTTTTTGAATTTGTTTTATCTTAGGTAACCTTTTCTTTTACAAAACTATTGTTTCAGAGTGCACTTTTATATGGGCGAAATATTACGTGAAAAGATTGGGTGAGAGGAAACTGATTAGCTGGGTTTTTCCACATAATGTAACTGGTATGATCCTGCAGTTGATTTTTAGTTGTTTGTGTTATTTATTGCATATATAATATCAGAAACTCAATCACATCTCTACTCTAGAAAGGTGAATCTGAATTCAGATATACGTGTGAGTATAGGCTCTGGCTGCTTATTTATCTTAAGGGAAAGTTCAGTTGGTATACGTGGATTTGTGGGGGACAAGGAAAGACTTGTAAAGAAAATATTGATTATACAGTTGGACATAACCATTTTGAATTTAATGAGATGTGTTTCTGGCACGCAGGTTTTCTCTAAATACTGGTTTATAGTACTCACTGATGATATCTTTCTTAAATTGCTATGTGTATTGTCTTTTGTTTCTTAGCAGTGCTTTTTCGCACCACAGGCTCTGCCAGTAACCTAACTTCAACAAATGACATGGGACTGCTATTTTATATTCTTTTTTGTCTTAATGAGTAGGAAATAAGAAATTAATCTTCTTTTGGTTACCTAAGGTCATCCTTATAAACCACAAATACTATCTTCTGCCATGTAGAGGGCATGTGATTATGCCACCAGAGGCTGTTAACAACATTTGGTTTTATTTCTCTCTACAAAGACTGTTTTTTGTTTTAAGTGGGTGTGATTTCTCCCTACTTCCCCTGCCTCTCCATCCACATCGTTAGCTGTTGTGGCTGGTGTTTAATACTCCAACTAGCTATTGAACTAGTTAACTATATTCTGAAAACATCTTTTCCGTTTCTAGAATGAATTTGTCGTTTAATGTATATATTAATATATAGATAACTTTGGAGTGTTCTGTGTGGAACAGAACTGTTTACCTTTATACAGCCCACTGACATGAGCTCTGGGAATCTGAACTATCTGAAGTGTGCTGCTATGTTTGTTGCTTTTATACTATTTTTCATTTTACAGGAACACAGCCAACTGCTGCTCTTGTAGTGTGCATTACTGTGTCATATTTATCTGTTTATATTATAAACCACATATTAGTTAACTAATGTGGCTGGGGAAATATTGTTTCATTGGTGCCCTCAGATATGGCCCTGATTTCTCATAGTTGACCTTTATTTTCCAAGGAATTAAAAACATTTGATTAGGCTCTTAGAAGAAATGCATGATTTTTTTTTGTTTTTTTCTTTTTGAGACGGAGTTTTGCTCTTGTTGCCCAGGCTGGAGTGCAATGGCACGATCTTGGCTCACTGCAGTCTCTGCCTCCTGGGTTCAAGCAATTCTCGTCTCAGCCTCCCGAGTAGTTGGGATTACAGATGTGCATCACCACACCTGGCTAATTTTGTATTTTTAGTAGAGACGGGGTTTCTCCATGTTGGTTAGGCTGGTCTGGAACTCCCAACCTCAGGTGATCCTCCCGTCTTGGCCTCCCAGAGTGCTGGGATTACAGGCATGAGCCACTGCGCCCGGCCTCATGATTTAATAAACGATTAGATAACTGTCTTCTGAGAAAAAGTATGATCCCACTGTGCTGGTATTTCTGAAGATAAACATATCTTTGGAATCAAAAGAAGCCACATTTTTAATCAGTAACAGGTAGCAGTATGATAAATCCTCAGTTAGCCATTGGAGATTCTTTTTTGTAATTATGTGTTTTGATAAATGAATTTTATTACAAATAAAGAGAAAGACTAATTATTGTAACTTAAAATGACACAATAAGACCAGCAGCATTTTTTACTTTAGTCTCCCAAATACACCATTAAATCTTCATGCAGTTGTATATTTAATAACCCATATCCAAAAGAAAGAAAAATCTATCTTCACCCTATTCCTAATTACTTTTCTATTTTTTTTCTTTGCACCTGAAACCGACCAAATTCTTGGAATGTTTTCTGTGATGATTCCTTTTCTTCTCTCTTAAATATATCTAATTTTTTGAATAGGTAATATTCACTTTTGCTTAAAAATTAGTAAATATATGCTCTTTTTTTTTTCTTTTTTTTTTTTTTTTGGAGACATAGTTTCCCTCTTTTTGACCAAGCTGGAGTGCAATGGCACCGTCTAGGCTCACTGCAACCTCCACCTCCTGGGTTCAAACGATTCTCCTGCCTCACCCTCCCAAGTAGCTTGGATTACAGTTGCCCGCCACCATGCCGAGCTAATTTTTTTTGGTAATTTTAGTAGAGACAGGGTTTCACCCTGTTGGCCAGACTGGTCTTGAACTCCTGACCTCAGGTCAGAGATTCACCCACCTCGACCTCCCAAAGTACTGGGATTACAGGCATGAGCCACTGTACCCGGCCAATATATACATATTTAAAGATACAATATAGAGTAAAGTTGCATTACTACCCTAGTACCTGCCATATGCCCAGTTTTCAATGTGCCCCCCATCACCAACACAAACATATAAGCACCCCCTCTTATTAATATCTTAGCATTCCTGTACGGTTTCTTTGTGCATATTAAGTAAATGCAGTAATTCCCCCTTTTGAAGAGGTATGTTCCAAGACCCCCAAGTAGATGCCTGAAACCTCAGATAGTACTGAACCCTATATACTATGCACAGGTTTCTTTTTCCCTCTTCAGAATTTCAGGTAGAAGATTTGTTCTTACTGTAGATCTTAGCAACCTCAGCATGATTTGTTTTTTATTGAGAACTTACACCTTTTCATAAAAAGGAAGTATTTTACTGTTTCTTTTGGCATACTCAAATTTCCAGCATCACTACTCTTGCACCTTGGGGCCATTATTAAGTAATGTAAGTGTTACTTGAACCCAAGCATTGTGATACCATGATAGTCAATCTGATAATCGAGAGGATCCCATAAGGAATGGGTGGATAGCATATGCAAGATACGATGGACAAAGGGATGATTCATATCTTGGGTGGATGGAGCAGGATGGTGCCATATTTCATCATGTTACTCGGAACAGTGAGAAATTTAAAATTTATGAATTATTTATTTCTGGAATTTTCCATTTAATATTTTCAGGCCATGGTTGATTGGGTAACAAGCTGTGAAAAGTGAAACAAGGGGGGGCCATTGTGTGATAAGATAAAAATAATTATCTCTTCCTTTTTCTACATAAAAGTAAAGTGTATTAGTCATACAATTACTGCTTTTTTACTTTTTGTTTTCAGATCTTTGTTAGCAAATAGAGTCTCCTCAGTTTTTTGTGCCAGCCACCTTCCGTTTTTTGAGACGGTGTCTCACTGTCTTGCCCGCTAGAGTACGTGGCTCATTCTCAGCTCACTGCAACCTCTTCCTCCCAAGTTCAAGTGATTCCTACCTCAGCTTCCCAAGTAGCTAGGATTATGGGTGTGCATGGGCCACCACATCTGGCTAATTTTTGTATTTTTAATAGAGACAGGGTTTCACCATGTTGGCCAGGCTGGTCTTGAACTCCTGACTTTAAGGAATCTGCCCACCTCAGCCTCCCAAAAGTGCTAGGATTACAGTCATGAGCCCCATGCTCTTCTATCTCCTGCTAATTAATACTTTGAATCAGACTTCTCAACATCCTTCGTGAGACCTCGTTTCTTCTTTGCCTTTGTTAATTCAGGATACCGTCTGTACTGGGTGTCTGGGTTGATACCATCTGGGCCTTACTGCCAGAGCTTTCCGTTCTACTGTATATAGATAGCATATGCACATAAATATAAACCTGTAGAAAGAGGCACAGTGCTTAAAGAGAACCGTTGAAGTCCTAAGCAGATAAGTGGGAAAACCAAGGACACTAGCTTCTGTGTCACTCCTTCACTATCTCTAGGGGTCCAGCTTCCAGCTGGCAAACATTTCAAATGTGTGTACTTTCTACATTCCGTCTTATACCCAAAACAAACGTTGGCATTACTGGGATTAGGCAGTTTGTGTTGTAACCATCTTGGGTTCCACAGTGCCTGGCAGATAGTTACCCAAATGTTTATTACATGGGTATGTCATGCTGTCTGGCTGGTTCTTTATTTACTGTCTTCCTTTCCTTCTCCCATAGCCTAACTCTGAGCATTGTTCAAAGCTCTCTAATTGGCCCTTGATTCTTTGTGTCCTCACTGTCACTGCCCACAAAGAACTCAGCTACTCTCAGCATCTCAACTACTACATTTGTGGATGTTTCTTAACACCTCTCTTTCATTTTATTTTCTCTCATTTTCAAGGCTTTAACGTCTACCTCTAACATATTTGCTATTATGTACTAGGTACATTTATTATATGTTAATTTTTATAACAAAGTACTATTAAATCTGTTATATAGATGAAGAAACTTGGGTTCAGAGGGATCACACAACTACTTAGGGACCCGGAGCTAGTAAATTGAAGACGTTACTTGAAGTCACTGCACTTGATTATTCCCTGACTCCTCACACTCAAAACCTAGAAATAATGTAAGCATTAGGAAGTGTGAAGCTTTGTGTCTGTTATAGTTGACTCTGATGTTGGGCTGTTTTCTGTACCTGTATTTCATCATTTAGAAATGAGTGATTTAGGATTTGGGATATAAATCTAGGATTGCTTATAGGATAGGATCTATCAGCCAGTTCTATACTTCCAAGAACCAGGGCTGTTTCTTCTCTACTTAGATATATTAGTAGAATTATCCTACATGCATGTGCTGCTTTTATTTGATTAGGATTTGAATACTAAATCAGTGGATTTAATATGGGAGATAAATTATTCTGTCCTCAAATAATGTAAATTTTTTTTTTCTTAAAATGTGTTTGCATTCTATTAAGGTTAATTTTTGTCCACTGACTTAATGATTTTTAAACAACTGTACAAAATGGATTTGTTTAAGAAAATTTCTTTCTTAAACTTTAGGTATAACCTAGAAAGACATGAGTTGGTTCATTTCTTTCTCAATTATTTTTCTAAGTCTATAACCATTGTTTCTATCTTATACAATAACTTTACAGTACT